GCCGCCGCATCCCTCGCACAGCCCTCGACGTCCTCCTTGCATTCCCACAGCTCGCTGCCGGGGACACAGCCCCAGCCGCTCTCCCTTGTAACGAAGTCCTTAGAATAGCTTTAGCCTCGTTAGCTCTTTCGGTTTCCTTTCGGGGGGATTGAATTCTGTTGGTATTTGGGGTTTTGGTTTGGTTTTTTTTTTTCCTTTTCCTTTTTTTTTTTTTTTTCTTCTCCTTGTTGTCGTCCGCTGTTTGTCGTCGTTTCTCGGTTTCGTTTTTAATTTGTGCCATGTGGCTACATTAGTTGATGTTTTATCGAGTTCATTGGTCAATATTTGACCCATTCTTATTTCAATTTCTCCTTTTTAAATATGTAGATGAGAAAAGCCTCATGATTCTGCCAAAATTTTTATCAACAGCTGTTTAAAGTCTTTGTAGCGTTTAAAAAATATATATATATACATAATTGTTATGTAGTTCCAATAGCTTAGTTTTAAAGACTGATTTTAAAAATTAAAAAAAAAAAAGAAGCAATTTTGAAGCAGCCCTTGCCAGAGGCATTGGTTCTTTATTATTTGTATTAAATACGAGCTTGCGAACCAATCATTTTACATCTGGTTTTTAAACCTTTAAGGGCACAACGAATGCGGTGCCGCTACTACTTCTTTTTTTTTTTCTTCCTTGTGTGAAACAACCTTTATTGTGATGTTACTTGTTATTGTTTAAATGTACAGAAACAAAGGGTTAAAAAATGTGTTAATATACCTTGTTCCATGGTGTTGTTCTTTTTGGGGGAGGGGACGCTACTCAACAATTAAAAGTATCACAACGCTATTGGACCAGTAGTATTTATTGCTTTAGAAATTGCTTGTTGTATCTGTATGTTGTCCCTTTTTAAATGTTTTTTTCTTCTTTTATTTTTTCCTTGAAACATTGTATAAAGGGTTTTTTTTTTTCCTTTAGTGTAAGCATCTTATATATAACAACTCATTTGTACAAGGTTTTTAAGTTTATATATAAATGTGTATATATATATTTTTTCTGGGATTTTGTTTTTGATTTGTTTTTGTGATTTTTTTTTTTTTTTTTTTTTTTTTTTTTTTTTTTTTTTTTTTTTTTTTTTTTTTTTTTTTTTTTTTTTTTGCTATATGAAATACGGTTGCCACCAAATGGACATTCGCAGATGCATTTTTTCAAGGATCAATAGTGTAAAGAATGAAATTGCTTTAAAAGCCATTACACTCGAAAAGACTTGAAAATTTAGCAAGGGAATTTTTAGCAATGCTGTTTGAAAAATAGCAAGGTCCAAGTGTCTCCCGTTCAGAACTGCAGCTGAATCCCCTGCGACATTAGGACTGTAGGCTGTGTGCAAAATTTTTATGTGCCAAAATTCTCAGTGACTTTTAACTTTCTCCCGACAACTTTATTATTTTTTTTAATGCTGTAATTTTTTTGTTCATCATGTTTTGCTGTGATGTTACATAGGTAGATATGTATGTAGTTTTAATGTCACCTATAACAGACGTGTTTGGTAGCAGATTGTCCGGAAAGCATTTAAAATGAAGAGGTATAAACCCTTAAGGGCCAAATTCTGTATATTAGATTATTCATAAAAGGAAAATCAGACTGCCACTTTTATGTACACTTACTACATACAGGTAGGTAGCAAACTTAAAACAAAAAAAAAAACCTAGGCATGTTGATGTTGCAAAAAACGCTGTATAAAGCTGAAAAATTGTTCATCTGTTCATTCAGTGCCATTGTAGTTGACATGAAGCGATTGTAAAACTGTCTCAGATTTTTCTCTGGTTTATTAAGATGCTAACTATAACATTTTTTGTGAATACTTTGAATGTTTCCTAACAGTTGTGATGTTACTGTTCCGTTTTATGCTCTTATTCCGATTTTCATTTTTAATGGTTTGGAAGCCATTTTTTGTAATGAATAAATGTTCATGCTGTACAGTATCTGTAGCATGCAGTTCTGGATTAATAAAAGCAACTTAGTATGTGCAGAGAATGACTTGTCAACTCATTTATGCATTGACTGCATTTTATCTGGCTGGAAAGATTTTCAGTCCGACTGGAAAAATTCCTTGGGAAAAAAAGTGTGAAAATTGTGGCAAGTTGCAGCCAGCTCTAGTTGTGAGAAATCCCATTTCCTTTTCGTTCCTTGGGAACTCAATGGATTTGCATTTGCACTGGCCCTCTCCCTGCTCAGTGCTCTTTTGCATGAGTAGCAGTGATTTAAGATCCTTTTAATTTAAAGAAAATGGCATATCATTTGGCAGAAGAGAGCATATGGGCTAAGGGAATGTCCTTCCCTGTGAAGTGAGCCTGACTGGTGGATGGATGGGAGACCAGGGCTAGGGATACCATTAATTTTAATGCATGTCTGTTTAACCTGGTGATCTCACAACATAGAGCTGGTGCACTATAAAGGTCACAGAGGAGAGCCCAGATAGCCTTAATTAGTAAAGTCTTTCTTCTGGCCTTAGGTTTTATCTTCTGGACAGATTTGAGTCCAGTTTTGCATATATTTGAGGGGTTTTTTAATGCAATGAGCCCTTGCAGCACAGCCTGCTCTTGGTTCTGAGAATCCACCATCCACCTGACAGCAATACCTGCAGATGCTGCAGGATGGAAGTAAATTTATGTGCAAAGATTCTTATTATGTTGTTGATTTGTTTGGGTTTTTTTTAATAAGTGGTGATTTAATTCCACTTCCTAATTTCCAGGATTCTATCTCAAGTGGATGTCACCATAGGGCCAGTCATCTTGGAAAATGTTAGCCATGGTAATTCCTACACTTGAGGAGAATGAAGTGTAAAGGTGTTGAAGTGGTTTTGTTCCGTGCTATTGTGCAGGTGCATTACTCAGGTACTGCATTTCTGTTTGGTTGGTCTTGGCAGGCTCTGCAGAAAGGGTGAGTGTTCTGCAGAGACCTGGGAACAGGCTGTTCTGGTAAGCCCAGCACTGGTGCTGTCCTTTCCTGTGGGGGCTGATAAAACCTGCAAAAGTGTCCATTGGCTGCACAGAAGGAATTTCCTTTGTGAGGGCCTGGGAGGTGCTAAGTGAAGTATAATATGTAAGCAATATACAGTACTTTTAATTGCTAATATTTAATTACTGGTTTACAAGACAAACCTTTTCTTTGTTTAAACATGTTAGTAATGTAAATACGTGAATATTGTTTCTCATGTCCTATTAGAAGGATTAAGTCGTGGTGAATTTTTTATCAAGCTCCATTTATCTCTCTTGAACCAAGGCTTGATGATGTTTTTGTTGTGGTCTGACATGATGCTGCCCTTGACCTGAGTGGAACACGTTCCCTCATCAACCACAACAGGCACGTGGGCAGCGTGGGTGCGAGAGGGCTCTGCAGTGGGGAAAAGGACATTGCTGCAAAGCCTTTTTGGAAGGTGCCAAATGTTGCTGTTGTTGTTAGCCAGTAAATTGAATGCAATGCTCAAATTATTCTCCGGCTGGTTAGGGTTTCTAGGGAATTTTTTACTTCTTTTTCCTAAGTGTTTTGACTCTTGCTAGAGCATGGCCATCCATCAGCCCAACACATGTGCTGCATCTCTGCTGGGGATAGCTGCTCTCTTCTAAAGTAAGGAATAGTGCTCCAGGGAGATCTCTGAATGCCATGATTCAAAGTAGACACCATCAAGGTATGATTCATATATTCAGGAAAATAATGTGTTCTTTGCCTCTCTGCTTTATTAGGCAAACTTCAGAAAGCAGAGTCCTGAAACACCATTGCCGTGCAGATTAGTTTTCCTTCTGTGTGTGTGGTGAGAGGCATGTGTTCCAAGGATACATTGAACAGGGCTTGTGAGTGGTGGAGAACTCATGCTGGGAACTTATTTGCTGTGGAAAACAATTGTATATCCCTGGGAAAGCAACTGCTTGTGTTTCCTCCAGGTTGTGCCTTGGCTGCATCCCTTTGAGGGATTGTGCCTTTAGATTTGCCTCCAAATTTCCCTTGCTTAGAGAGGAATTGAGCTGGGTCAAGGCTCCTGGGAGAAAATTCCATTATTTATATGTCCAGGAGTCCCCAGGTACAGTGGAAACATGGTGGAAAGACAGCCCTGTCTATGCACTGTAGGTGTAAAATAGGGTGAGACACAGGCTGATCACCCCCAGATCCACACCCGTGAGGGCGGCCACAAGAGTGGGGTGGAATGGTCTGTTCTCATCCAGGGCTGCCTAGAGACAGCACAGGGCCCTGCATACAGTAGGTAATTCACTGAAGCTATTGCTTCCATCTGTTTTTATGGACTAAGGCAAGGAAGCAAGTCAATGTATTGCATGTTCGGGAGACATTTATTTTCCATTAGTTTTGTAAATCTCATTTTTCACTTAGCGTATGGAATTTTAAAAAGTTTAAGCAATTGCTGACTCAAAGCAGTGCCACATGGTTTTGTGCTTTGCTTAAAAGAAAAAAATGGACAGGCAGGAAAAAAAAGAGTAATCTTTAGAGTCCTGTTCATTTCATTAGACTATAAAAAAGATGTAAAGAGAATTTACAGTAAAATGGTTGCATAGGTCATTGCAACAATAATGAACGTTAATAATATTCTTATTCTTATTCTTATTCTTATTCTTATTCTTATTCTTATTCTTATTCTTATTCTTATTCTTATTCTTATTCTTAGTTACAAAACTAATAATAACTAACAACAGTAATGTGTGTGACACTGCTGCCCAGGTATGTCTGGCATACACATAGGAGTACTTTACCACCAAAGACTGGATGAAGGGTTTGGATGCTGTTTTGGGAGAGGTGCTCCATCTGAAAACTAAATTCAGTACAGGACTGAGATTGATCTCAAGTGATCTTTGTTGGACAGGACATCTAAAGCTTTTGGAGCCTTAAAACTATGAATATTCAAATTTTCTCAGAGTGTAGCAATTGCTGTTATTAAAAAAGTGTAGACAGTTACTTTGGCATTCATTTTAAGATGTCCCTGGAAAACATCTTGAGATTTTTGAGACAGATCAGCTTTAAGTGATTTAATTCCAAGCACCCATCATTGTCAATAATGTCACCAACCCATTTAAGGACCCTTTGACAACTGTATTCTTCCAGCCCCTGGACTGATTTTCTTCTGGGATCAATCAAAAATATTAACTCATTACTTTCATGCGTATACTAGGAGCGGCTCTTTCTCTGAGGTTGGAAATGCTTTTAAATTTGGGATGGGGGGATATTAATCTGGACGTCTAAGGCAGTGGAGAACATGAAGTCATGCTCTCTGTCCATCTGCTTGACCCTCTCCTGATAATTCTTGAATACTCTGGCATTTTGAACCAGATTTGACAGCGGCAGTCGAGCTCTCAGAGATGATAAAGTCCCTCTGAGTTCCAGGGAAATCTCTGCCGGCGCTGAGAAGAGAGGCTTTCCAGATCCACTGCTGAAGAAAAGGCAGGGAGAGCTCAGCTGTTATCCATTCTCTCTGGCAGCATCCAGATGGCCAATTATCACACGTCTACTTCTGGACCAGCATCTGCTCTCCCCTGCCCAGCTGGCAGGCTGAGAAGATTAGGTAGGAGACATGGACAGCATTGGGATGTTGGAGGGAACAAGGGAACGAGTTAAGGGTATAGGGAAAAGTGGAAATACTGCAGCTGCAATATGTAATGTTATGTAAGACTGCAGTGGGGAAGCAAGGGGAGGGAAAGGACAATGGGGAGATAGGAGACACATCTGCAGGACACCAGGCCCTGCTAATGCTCCTGCTCACAGAGCAGAGCTGCTCTGGAAAAGTCAGTGCTGCGGGGTTTCCAGATTCTTGTCTCGTTCCTTTGAGTTAGCAGCTGGCACCAGCTCACTGATGGGAAGCACAGCCCCATTTAGGAGGTACCTGCTGGCAGGGGCTTGTGATGCCCTGGCCTGGACACCACCAGAACAGGGTGGAAAAGTCTCAAGGTGTTTGCACAGCTCTGTAGCACGGGGATGACTGAAGCTGGGTGTGCAAAGCAAGAAGGGTGGGTTTTTTCAAGAAAGAGAGAAAAAAGATTATTACCTTATTTGCAAACAAGCCCATTTGTAGTAGCTGGTTGCCAGGCATTTGCAAACACCCTGGTTTTAATCTCCATCAGAAATTGTCTCCTTTGCTCCCTTATTTTGCGTTCCCTTTTAAATATGCTGCTGGGGTATTTTTGGATCTAACTATATCTTTTTAATCAGTTCCACCCACCCCCTTCTCAGCCCCCGCTGCTTCCCTGCCTGCTCCTTCTTCAAACTTATATAATGGCACATTATACAAAATAGCTAAGCAGGTGGTATTTTTAAAGACAGTGAGTGAGCATTTTTTTGGCCTAAATTTGGAACGAAACAGATGGATTTTAAGACTCTGCTTTTTCTATGAATAGTAACCGTTGTTCTCTACTGCCTTAAACACCAGTTTCAAGACCACCTCCAGCAACCAATCAGCACACTGTTATTTAATTATAACAAAATTCTTAGCTCTGTCTGCTGCTGCATGGGCAAGTGGGGGGCACTGGATCAACTTCTGGAGCCAGGCAGACTTGCCAACAATAATTTTCCTTTTCCCAGAGGGCCGAGGGGGCCTGGAGTGGGTTCCAAGTTCCTCCTAAACTGGCTGTTCAGTTTGGGCTCCCTGACAGAGTGCTTGAAAAGGGTTATAGAAAGGCAGATAAATGCACTTCTTGTTGCAAGCTTCCCTGACAAGCCAGGCCTCCAGAACAGTGATCTCATTTCTGCCTTATTATTGGTGGTGCCAGATTTTTTCCATTAACAGGTAATTGAGTCAAAACTAAAATAAGCAAAGTTTGTTTTATCCAATGCGTTCTCTTGCTTGCTTGTGAAAGAAAAACACTTTAGTGAGGGGTTTGCTTTTAATGTTCATGGAAATGTATTTACATCTCACAGATTCCTCCCTGCTCTAGTGTAATTAACCTGACTGGTCTTTTTGTTATTGTTGTTTTGATTTTTAAAGCAAAGATATTGGCGAGGCTTAATTCATTTTACTAACGGTTTGAATTCCCTGGGAGCAGTAGGGTTGAAGTTGTCCATTCTGTGCATGGCCACAAGTGCTCCTGAGTGTGCATTCACTCAGGATGGCTTGGCTTCACCCATGGCCCCAGAGGGGAAACAGGAGCAGGATTCTAGCAGGATGATTCTGTGCAGCATTTCCAGGCTCAAAACAAGCCTTCCCTTCCATGGAGGCCACGGGGACACCGAAGGGACCAGCCAGTGTCTTCTGTCCTGACCAAGCAGGGACACAACATGGCTGCCCACAAATTGCTCATGGTCTTGCTGAAGATTGTTCTTTGTTTCTCACCCATGTGTTTATGAGGGCCAGGAGTTGGACTCGATGATCCTTGTGGGTCCCTTCCAACTCAGCATATTCTGTGATTCTGTAATTCCTCAGCCAGCTGCTTCAGGCATCCTCAGGCCAGCAGGCTGCCTCTCCCCTCCTCACCTGCAGGAGAGCCAGCCCTGCCCTGGGTGAAAGGCTGAAGCTTAACAGGAAGCAGCAAGCAATGCTGAAGAACAGAGAAGTTACATGTTTGTGGCTTTGCTGTTTTGCTTCTGTTTCCAGCTGCCCAGAGTTAAGCTCCTGCCTGCTTTGCCCTTGTAAGGGAGGCCGTGTCCTCCAGCACTACGGGGCCCTGGGTGCTTTGCCCACCTGCAGCCCTGTGACAGCCACATCACCCTGTGAACGCTTCTCCAGCCTTGTGCAGAGGTGTAAAGGGATGGTAGAGGTGGGTGAGATGGAGCAAGGAGGGTGCTGAGCTCAGGCTGTGGGGTGGGGATGGTGGCTTGTCCCAAGACCCTGCAGCCAGGACAGGTCAGTGGGTGGCTGCAGAAGTGCTGAGCATGGCAGCGGTGCCGCCTGCCAAGCTCCCTCAGCCTCACTGCCCCTGGGCTCTGTGAGGCCAATTACCAATTCACAGAGTCTGTTTTCAGCACAAACAGGACCTTCAAAGAGTTGGGAGCCTTTCTGTTTTGGTTTTTTATTTTTAATGTCCTCCTTAAAAAATGAAAGCAGAAAGACCCATACTTAAAAGTCAAGTAGATAATTGTTTCTAACATAAATTTCAAACATTATCTCTTCCTCTGGGCAGGTACTGCTGAGTCAGTTACGCCGACTGCCCAATGGCAAACTGCGACACAGTAATCCCCATTTGAACTTGAACACATCCTCTCTAAAGTAGCATTTAAAGGGGTTTGGTTTGTTCTGTTTAATCACCCAACTTTTGGCAATTTTCTTGCTGGAGGCTTTAGCCAGCTTTCATCTTTGATGCTGAGACTTGCCTGGCAGTGAAGCTGTAGGAGAAATCAGGTGTGTGATGAGAGGTGAAGTCCTGCAGTAGCCCTTGTCTGGCTGAGGTAAAGGGTCTGTGATTCACAAATTGCATACCTATTGCAGTCTGGGATATGTATTAACCAAGTCCTCCCCTGGCTCTAAAATGGTAAAAAAATATGAGATACATGAGATACAGTGGCACAGCTCACATTATCTGCAAAATGCATGTTCAGAACCTCCATGGCAGAATCAGTGTTGCCACAGTGGGCAGGAGATGAAATTCCATCTCCAGTCAGTCATCCCAAAATATGTTTCTCACTGGATTTTCTGAGGTATTTCTCATTGAACCAACAATGTAGTTTAGTTCCCTCTCTAATGCATTAATTTTGCTTAAGCAGTTCATGTTTTGCTTTTATGAGCTTTTCCTCCTCTGCATCATGAGGGACAGCAAAGAACTTGTACCAGTGAAAACATACTAAACAAAGTGGCTTCACCTCAAATGACTTAATTTTAAGAGATGATCTTTTTCTTTGCCCCACCCTCTTAAATTTTTTACATGAATTGAAATTAATAGGCATCTTTCAGGTGTAGGCAATATACAGGTTGGAAAGATTTGCCATCCACAAATCTGGTCACTTTTTAAAGCCTTCAGTTTAGCTAGAGAACACCTGCAGCAAAAACAACAACAGTATAGGCTCCTCTGAACTTTTTCCTTTCTTCAAGCTACTCTGACCTGGGTAAATGAACTGAGGGATGTAGCTGACTCTCTGCCTCCTTCTGCCTTCAGATCCTCTCTGTTTCATTCACATTTTGCACAGTGTTTGTCACCTCAGGTTTCTTGCAAGAACCTCTTCCAAGTTTTTCCATTGTCCTGCATTTCATGAGGGTGGAGTAGTCGCATCATCTTCACTTCACTTGTTTGTAACCTGACTCAAAACCATTTTTGTGTTGAGTTTCACAAATGAGGAATATTTGATAAGGTTTTCATCAAAAGGGTCTTTTACCAATGAATATATTACTGAGACCAATTGCTTCAAGGCAGCTGTGTCCAGCCACAAGGTCTGGCCTAGTAGAGCAGATCCAGTAATGTGGAAGACCTGGTTGTACAATATAAATTACTTTGATATCCTCAAGGATTCAGTCACTTTTACTTGGGTTGCAGCGTCTTTGAACTTTGTACTAATTTACCCCTCCTTTTTCTGGGATTAAATGCCCAAGATTTCCAATGACACCTTATGGCCTCAGGTGTCCCATTTGATGAGGGAAGATGTTTCACAGCAAGAATTCATTCCAGGCAGACAGTAAATCTGTCCCAAAGCCAAAACAATTGGTAGCTACCGCTGAAAAATGTACCATGATCTTATTTTCATTTAATCCAGGAGGCACATTTAAAACAATGTTGGTACTGCATAAAATAATTTTTTTGTGTGCATTAGAGAAGACAAAAGGAAGAGAAGTATAAATATGTCTACATGTTAGTTGTATTTAAATATTGAAATTTTTACTATTTTATATAAGTCCTTTGGATTTGGTCCAATCTCAACCTCATATTTACCAAATCTAAAATATTTTGGGGGATATTTTTTTTTCTCCTGACTATAGCTGTCTATTTTTAGCAGTGATGTTGTTCTGGCTAGTTTTCTTTACCCTAACAGAGGTGACTCCACGGCACATTTCTTTTGACAAAAACACACAAAACCAACACGGATCAGTTAACACAGATGACATCTTTAAACCTGAATACATTTTTTCACTATAAACGCCACCAGTCAACTTTCGTGTAGGTAGGTTTCCATTGTTAGTTGTCAAAGTCTTCTTGAGTGGATTTCCCACTGTGTCACTTTTGTGTGAGTCAAATCAAGATTATAGGTAACAGAGAAGAAAAAGAAAAAGAAGAGAAGGTTAGACCCTCATTTTAGAGTTTAAGAAAAATCTACCAGCAGGTTGCAGTTCGAGTTGGTAATATACATGAAAGGGGGAGTCCAAGCCGTGTCACAGGTATCACTATATTAGGCTTTCAGGAAAAAGCATACAAAACACATATTGTAGTGGTCACACACAGAGACATAAATTTAGGAACAAGATCTGCCTTAGCTTGAACATAGTCAGCTCTGATAATAAGGAACAATGGACCGAAGCTATTATGAAACGAAACCCAGGAGCCAGAATGGAGGGAGCTTTTAGTTGAGTTCTCCTGGAATAAAAAAGTCTAACTTTTTTTTTCAGACGTATGTTGTCCTAAATTTTTCTGTTCTCACTTTAGAAGACAGCTGATTTTATTTGGGGTTTGATTAATGAGATGTTCCATGCTGAAATTTCCCGAGTAACCTTTACATTAAATTTTGTTTCATCTTTTCTGTCTTAAATAATTTATTTTCATTGGGATTGAGGAAAATATGCTAAATTGTGCCCTTTATCATAGCTACACAGTATCCAGGGTGGATTTCAGATAATTTGTAGTAGTTTGGGTAGTTTCTACTCTTACATGGTACCATACAGTGTCCTGAGTTGGAAGGGACCCACAATGATCATCAAAGTCCAGCTCCAAGGACCATCCCAAGGATCACCCCATGTGCCTGAGAGCATTGTCCTAGTACTTCTTGAATTCTGTGAGGACTGCTGCTGTGACCACTGCCCTGGGGAGCCTGTTCCAGTGCCCAAACACCCTCTGGGTGAAGAACCTTTTGCCCATATCCAACCTAAGCCTCCCCTGACACAGATTCAGGGGTCCTGTCACCAGTCTCCATAGAGAAGAGACCAGTGCCTGCCCCTCCTCTCCCCCTCATGAAGTTGTACAATCATATGAGGTCCCCCCTCAATCTTCTCCAGCTGAAGTAACCAAGTGCCCTCAGCCACACCTCCTACATCTTTCCCTCCAGACCCTTCAACATTCTCATAGCCCTTCTTTGGATGCTTTTTAATAGCTTTATACCTTTCTTATATTGCAGTGCCGTGGCTGGTGGAAAAATAGCTCTAGAAGTGTGAAATTCATTAATTCATGAGAGGCATGAGAAGCTTGATTTATGTCAAAAAGCATTTGTTTGACACTTTCTCCTGACCTGGGAGGTCAACAGGCTGCTGAGATGTGTCTTAGAAAGCTGCAGGATTGGCAGAGCAGAAACCTTCAGTGGGATCTGAAGAGTTGCACATATAAGACAAAATCCAAGCTTGTCTGAGGTACCCAATGATGTCACACCTCCAGCTGTGGAATTGGCAGGTAAGTTTGACTTTCCTGTCATTCTAGGTTTGAGAGATACATGCATATGTCTTTGGTCATACTGAAGTCTTTTTTGCTAAGGTAATCTTGCATGACATCCGATGAATAAACCAGTTTAAGATGAGAACATTTTGTTTACTTTTGTCTTAACCAAAGACCAAGAACTTTCAATGAAATCAGAGCTTCTGTTCCTCTTGAAATAAGCAAGGTGTGTCCATGAGGCACTGCACTTCACAGGATTTTGTATAGGACCCTGAACATTATGGGAAACCAACTCAGGGATTCAGTATTGTGAAGTAATGCTCTTTTGACTTGAAGGAGCAGTCAGAATTTCTGACTGCTGAGATAAACAAGGCTGAGCTAGACTTATTTTAGGTCAAACAGGGCTTCTCTCCCCTGTAGAATCCATGGCAAATATTAGATTTGCATCAGTTTTAGTCAGCAAAAGGTTAATAGTAGTAAGCATGAATATTTTGGCCTATTGTGCAGAACATACAAATATTCAAGGGTGTTTGTACTGAGGCTTTTGGCTGGACCTCTATAAAGATACAAGAAGCCAAACATATGTTCTGGCGTTCTAGGCTTTGATTCTTAATCATGTTCTGTGCTTGCATTCAGAGGTTTGCTTTGGGACCATCTCCAGTGTGAGAAAATATGACAGAGAAATCAAACACAGAGGTTGTGCATAGCAGTGTGGTGTTCCTACGTGAAGGGGAGCTTTTGTAAGCACTAACATTATTCTTCTTTTGACAGCAGCCTCACATTTTCCCTTGGTTTATCTTAAATGGGAATAACCCCTAAGACGGGATATCTCTGGGCACTTCAGAGAAGTGCTTTTTGAAGGCAAAGGAAATATTGTTACAGGGGTGAGCCTCGCATCTCTTTGGCAGTTAACAATCCTATAAATACCACTGCTGAGTGCAGTGTTTGTCCATGGCTGGTCTCAAGTGTAGCTGGCTTGTGGCGCAGGAATCTCTTTTGCTCCAGGAGCATGTTGCCTAGCCTTGCTAATACTTGGCTCCCAGAAACAGACTAAACCAGACAGGCCATGAAGAAAGCACTGGCTGGCCACACAGACCAGGTAATATGTCACAGAATGAGTAAAATTTGGTATCAGCTGTCAAAAAAGTAAAATATGAAAGCTTCCCAGAAACAGAAAAATATGGAAATTAAGGTTTTGGGATGGGTTTGGATTTGCTTTAGCTCTTCCATTCCTAAGAAATTTCTCAGGAATTTCTTCCATATTTTTTCAAGGCATCACCCTTTTACCCATTCTTTTACCAGGAAAGTGGTTACATTTATGCTGCACTTTCCTTTTTTTTATTCTTTTCTATCCAGAAATGTTCTTCCTCCTTACATTTTTATTTTCTTCTTAAAAATTTAAAATACCCAAATAAAAAGTCAATCAGTATACAAAGAAATGCAAAAATTAACTGAACCTCATTGTCTAATTCTAAAATATATTTAATCTCCTTTGTAACTTTTTGCACTTTGGTAGTTCGGTAATTACAAGGGAATGTACTTCACTGGATAGATCTCATATCTGATATATCTGCAGAGGAAAAGCCATGAAGTCAATGGAAATATCTCACTAACCTGAGGTCAAGCTGTAATTTCCTGAGAAAACAGAAACTCAGTTTCTTTTCTTCCAATCAGTCTTGTCATCTCTTCTTCCTCCCATGTGCAACTCCATTTTCCAATGCACATTTCTGTCTTATGACCGCTTGAGGCACATGGCAGGTGTGAAAAGCTGATCTATCAGCTGTTGAAGCCAATGGATTTTGATCACAACTTGCTTTACATTGGAATCTAAATTGCTCTTTCTGCAGAAAATGTCGCAAAATATTGGTAATAGGAAAATGGACCTGAATTCAGGCAGCACCCTGCACCAACTGAGAACACTGAGAGCAAAAGAGCAGCAGCAGGAATAACACCATCCATGGGCCAAACTGCAAGATAATTAAACCAGAAATAGCATGGGGCATTTCTTGAGGCCAATTAATTCCATCAGAAGGATGTCATCTAGCAGTTCAAGACAAGAAGGACACTCTGTATGAAGTGGAGATGAATGTGGCAGTCTGCCAATCTATCACAATCTTCTTTTATTAAAGATTCTTATTAGTATCTTATATTTCAAATTAAATATTTATAGTTCTGTTAATAGAATGCGGAAAGGAGGCCTGTTCCAGAGATCTGTCTGTACAAGGAGTTGTCCACTGACGTGAATTAGATCAGCAAAGCTTGGGATATTTGTGTTTGTAGTCCTGTCATCATTTTTCTTTCGGGGCTGCAGGATGGGGTAGCAGCTGAACTCCCTGTAGGCACGTTGCTCTCCTCCCCACGGATGTGTGCACCTCTTACTTTCCTGCAAAGTGGTTTTTTTCTGGTATCAACTGCTTTGGACTTTAACAGTTCTCTTAAGGGATCTGTGTTTTAGCCTCCATGGCTGGCAGGCCAGTGCTGTTATTCCCATTCTCCCACATGGAGACTCCTGCGGCTTTTAAAGGACATGCAGAGAAGCAGTGCCAGCTTTGTGAATATATAGCCCCACCATTCTTATTAGATTCCATGAAAGATGAGAATAGGCCCTTTGATGCTTTCAGTGAGTGCTGAAGCCTTTAGCAATGTTGTGAAAGGTCGTTGGAGAAGAGCTGGGGGGGACAGATTCAACTGGTACTCATGGGAATGGTCCTTGGGATGTGGAACTAGTCTGGAAGAAAATGTGAAAACAGAAGTGATTTATATTGAAATGAAGGTTATGAAGACAGCAATGACCACTGAAACATACACAACAATAACTCAGAACAACCTCTCTGGCACACTCTGCTGTGCCATCTTTTTAACCCTGGAGGAGGTGACTGGGAAGAGAGATTTAGAGCAGATCTGTGGGACTGATATGAGTGAACGGATCTGACTTCTATCTAGGTGCTCCTGGGTTCTCATCAGCCCCTTTCAAGGCGTGAGGGAAACCATCTCGGTCCTCTGTGATCTGCTCCCTGGGATACAGATAGCAGGACAAAGCAGTCATTCTCTTTTTCTCCCATGGTAAGTGGTCTCTGCCCTTTTGATATTAAATATATGGGGTCTTTCCAGAAGGGTAGTGTGAAATGTCAAAGAGATAATATATTTAAGCATTCATCTAGTTTGCAACCATTTTATGCCCACCACACAAAGACATAGAAGGCTTCTCACTCATTTCTCTGCACTCATCATGCTGCCATTGTGGGACCAGAAGATAATGAGATGAATAGGAAGCATTTCCTCAGCATGAGCGATGTAGGAACATCATTATTAATGTTCGTACAAAATATCCCATCTCTACATGATGTCTACATATCTGAGATACAGCCCTCTGCCAGATATAAAAAACCATGCCCATCCAACAGTGATCTGTTACTTAATGGAAAGTCTGCTCAAATTTCAGTTTAAATTGCATTTATTATTTATGTCTCAAGTACAGAGAATACTGAATATGTCTTCCCCTTATAGTGTTAGGGGATTAGTAGTTTCCATTTAAACAGACAGATATTGGCCCAGAAGGATGTTGAACATGTCCATATTCAATATTTAAAAATTGCAAAAACCCTTTGAAATTAGTGCAAAGAAATTATAACGAAGTAGCCTTTTCTGTACATACTGAGGTGCTAATTTTCATGTGGCTGGGGTCAGCACCTGCAGCTCTGCTCCCAGTCACCAGTGCTTTTCCCTCTGGCTCCTGGTGGGTTAAGTGAGTGCTCCTCCTGGGTGAGTGTGCCAGCCTGAGGGCAGGAGCTGTAGGGATGGGGTTCAAAGGGATATACAGGGCTGGACACACACATGGTGGTGTGTGTGTCTGCAACTAAACCTTACACTAGATAACAATAATCTGATTTTGGTAATCGTTTTCTCTTTATGGCTTGCCTGCTAGCAGGGATAGTTTTCAAACAGGGTATCAAGGTGACACATTTACTCATTAATTTCTGACTTTTTTTGACCTGTGGTTAGATCACAAACAACTCACTGAACATGTTCAGAGCACAGCAACCCACGTGTGACATCTCTTGTCCTTACTTGGCTGGGTCTCCCATTGCACTCCAGGTCTCACTGGCACAGTGAATCCAGGTGTTTGAATAATTCATCACCAAGACACCTGGGCCTAGCTGACAAACTTTGTGTTTCAGGTTGTTTTTTCCTGAAGCCTTGGAACAATGCAGTTTGTCTTCTCACACTTATTCATTCATATTCATATTTTCATAGTAGACATTTTGAATGCTTTAGTTAAAGCTGTACCCAGAAGTACATACTGGAACAGATGGGAGAAAGAGCTAGGAATTTTCATGATATTTTACGGGTTGGACAACAACCACAACGTGATCCAACAAATTTTCTTGTTCTCAAACATTTTATTGTCAATACACTCCTCAGGAATGTACTCAAGAGTTGTTTGGGGACATGGAAAAATATTTACCTCAGCCTTCCACAATTTATTACTTATTGTTTGAAAAAGTTGCCTCTTTTCTGCGCCAACATTTATCATCTTGGGAACACACTGGAATATAGCAGTGATATTAAACAATAATGTGCTCTTTGCTGGGATAAAATAATATTGCTGAGCCACTGCAGAGGAAGCCAAAAACCACATGTGAAATAGTTTTCTTGGAAGGGCAAAAAGTCTCAACATTTGTTAGCAAATAACTTAGCTCGTGGTGCAGACATCAAATGGTATGGCAGCACTTGCAAAGCTATTCTGAATATGCATTTTCCCAGGGGTGCTGGGGCACAAAGCCACTGTAATGAAGGTTAGAAATGTAAGAATTTTGCACCAGTAAAATGTAATAATATTAAAAAACCCCAAAAACAACAATTCACAGAAGACTTAGGGGAAGAAATTATAGACAGTGAGTCCTTCAGCAATCCATATTAATTTAATTTTTATTTGCATGGCCCTGAATGAGACACTGCCTTAATGTCTGGGTGGAGGTGGCTGTTCAAACTTCTTTTTTCCATGAGGGAGGGTTTGCCATCCCTCTCCTCCAGTTGGTCAGCTGCTTTCCTAGCTGAACATACATTTTTCTCCCCCCAACCCCCAAAGCGGTCTAATACCTTCTCTTGTGCAGTGGGTTGTATGTGGTGAAGGTTTCCCATACAAAAAAAGCACAGCTGCAAATGCAGCATTCTTTAAATATTTCCCTAAAATGCCTCTGCTGAGTTGCTGATGGAATACTTGGTGAGAGCTACATAGTCCTGTGTGTTTAGTAAAATCCATGTCCTTGAGGACTTCCTCACTCTCTAGTTGTGCCTGCCCATAAGCTCCCGTAGGACACCCAGTAATTGTAGGGGAGGAGAGACCGTCTTCAGTGTAGTGTCTCAATGCAGCTGCTACAGAAAGTCCATAAATCTTTCTCCGTAACCCATAAACCATAGAATTGTAGATAAATTTAGGTTGGAAAAGACCTCTAAGATCATCAAGTCCAGATGTTACCTATCACTGCCACGTCCACCAGTAATGCATGCCCCTAAGTGCCACATCTACAGATCTTTTAAATAATGCCTTCAGGGATGGTGGCTTCACCACTTCTCTGGGCAGCCTGTTTCACAGATTGGCAACCATTGTAGTGAAGAAATTTTTCCTAATATCCAGTCTAAATCTCCACTGATGTGTCTTGAGGCCATTTACTCTTATCCTGTCACTTGTTACCTCGGAGAAGAGACTGACCTCCACCTCACAGCAACCTCTTTGCAAGTGGTTGTAGGGACTGAAAAGGCCATCCCTGAGCCTCCTTTTCTCCAGGCTAAACACCCCCAGCTCCCTCAGATGCTCCTCCTCAGGCTTGTGCTCCAGATTCTTCACCAGCTCCGTTGCCCTCCTTTGGGCTCATCCAGACCAATGCAATACAGCAATTAATGCCAGATGTGTTTTGGATCACCCCTCTCTTCCCAGTGGAGCTCAGCCCACTCAGCTGGGTGCCAGGAGCTCTGTGCCGTCATCAGCTGAACCTGCACCACCCTAGAGGGCCATCCCTGGCTGGAGCTTCTGTGGGTCCCTCTGTGCTGCCACAGGATCCTGGGGCTGTGCAGTGACCTCAGCATGGAAGGGGCTGGGATTTTCCTGGGAGTTAGTGGGGTGCAATTTCAGCCAAAGGCTCTGGGTTGTGCACCTATTTTGACACTACACAGGCATGTTATCTAACCTTCTAAAGACTCACCTGTCCTATGGGTGCCTCTGTGTCCACCAAAGGACTTTTATTCCCTTTTGATATTTGCAAAGGGTAAGAGGGAGGAAAGTACCAGTACTGTGCCTGGAAGGAGAAGAAACAGCATCAGAAGTGATGGATAAGCTGAAAGAGAGCAGTTCTCAAAAAAAGTATTAATAACTACTAATAAAGGCGCATTTGAATACTGATTTTAGGTTATGATGGATCCAAAGAGCCCTGCATGCACTGGAATTGTCCTGGCCCACCTCTGAAGTGCTCCCACCTGAAGGGCAGGGTGCCCCAGTTTCTTAAAAGTTCGCTCTGGACTCGACACGAGGTGTGAAACAAATCTTTGAACCCTGGGTGCTTTGCCCAACTCCTGTTCCTTTATTAGAAGCCCAGAAGCCAGCATGGAATAAGCAGGGTAACAGTACAGCACGGCACATTTTTATAGCAAGGCCAAATCTTTATTATGCTTCTTGGCCCAGTTTAGTGGAGAACACTGCTGGGCCTGATTTCAGTTTTGATATCATACACCGAGGCTGCAGACCCTTAAGAGTACAAGCTGGAGAAAAGAACATAGAAAATGTTAGGAATGAGAAAAGGCCATTCAACACATTGATGCTTGTCTCTTGTAATACAGCGTTTCCCCCAGGATAGCATCTAATTGCTTCTTGAACGAGCCCACTGTCTTTGCCTCAACAACCTTGCCCAGTAGGCCATTCCAAACATTTATTATTCTTTGAGTGACAAAGCACTTCCTTATGTCTCCTCTGAATTTGTTTTTTGAACTTCCATTTATGCCCCCGATCCTGTCATCTGTGCTGTATCAAAAGTAGTAACATGCATTGATATTATCCATTCAGCTAAGATTTTTGTATACTTCTGTTAGACCCCCCTTAAATGTCTTTTTTTTTTTTTTTTAAGTTGAATAGATTGAGGGTTTTTTTCACCTTTCAGTAACTTCTACAATTTTATCCTGGAACCAAGTTGAGCAAAAATATTTGTTAAAGCCTGACTTACATTAGATCACAATGAATGGATGTATAAAGTCTACTGTAGAAACACATTTAATTTTTTTTTCCTCCCACTCTTTTGGACACTAAACTATAATTTGGTTTTCCTGATGCTTGCATCTGGTTATTTTGGCAAAAGTTAACTAGGAAGATGGCAAGAATTAAAAGCTTGGTATGAAATTTGGAAAAATCTGGTCTTAAATTTTTATTAATTTATACTGTGGGCTTCCTCCCCACTTCTCTTTCTCCAAGTAGTGGTTTGGTTTTTTCAAGAGAATTGCTTATCATTTGGGATTTTCCATGTGATAGTGCTTTGCAGAATCTATATGAAGAAATGTCAGATTACATCTGTGATCTCCCCAAAAGCCACTGAACCAAGCAGTGGCAGGTTCAGCCCTCATTCACTTCCACAGCCAAGGTGAATAGTTCATTACCTTTTTGGATGACATTCCAGGGCATGTGTTATGCAGGAGGCCAGAACTGATGATCTAATGGTCCCTCCTGGCCTTAAAAAATATCTACAAATAATGATTATAGATGAAATATATATGTCCTGCACAAAGTAAAAACCAGCAGGCTTTGGGTGGGAATAAGAAATTAAGGAAAAGAATTTTGCCATAGCCCTTTCCCAGAGGCTGGGTAAACAGCACTAGCCTGATGGCAGCTGTGGCTACTTACTCATTCTCTCTTAATTTTTTCATCCTATTTTTCATATTAACAATGTGGGGTTTGTTTTTTAGGCCATCTGTAAATCTTCCAGTTTTCTCTGAATTCCTTCCCTATGCATTTCTAGGAATGGAAGATCTGAGCAAGACCTGCAGGTTGTCCCTCCAACGCTGGGCTGAGCTGGGATTATTTCCTCACAGGTTCTCCACAGAGGTAAATGCTGTCCAACACAATCACTGAGTTTAGATCAGGTAAATTAGTATTTGTATGAATTAGCTTAGACAAAGGACTACCATAATTTATAGCTTAGAGGTGAGTTTGATCTCATCCTCTGTATTTTCTGTGCAGGTTTGCCCTGTGGGACAGGCACACTGCTGCTGGACCATCACAGCCCAGGGAGTCATTCTTCTTTCCCTGGTTGGGACCCTGGCTGTCAGTCAGTCCTGCACTAGCACTGTGTAGGACTATGCTGGATCATCTCTGGATAATGAATAAGTCAGCCCCATAGGTCTCAGGAAATTGTTTTTGCTATTATGCTACCAGGGAGAGAAAACTGATGTATGAGACTGTAATTATTGGGATCATGCTTCAGTTCCTCTCTGAAAAATCTAAACAATATTTGCTTTGCTTCAGGCCCTGGGAATCTCCCATGATTTGTCAAAAAATAATTGTTGGTGGTACAATAAATTTGTTGTTCAATTCCCTAAGTGTTCTGGGCTTTATGCAACGTGGAAAGCTGATTTGTTTATATTCATATTTTCTCTATATTCCCTTACCCATTCTTTGTCATTATCTTTATTTCTACAGGTTTATTTCTCTCCAGTGTTTTCTAGTTGTTCAAACTTTGTGTTTGTATATTTATTTAAAGGCAGATTTCAAAAGATTTCAGTCTCTCAGTTTACTGAAGGATTCAGCTTCTTGCCAGTACTTCATCTCCCCTGGTATTTTTGCGAGCGCTCTTGTTCTCCTTACCCGTCTATCTAGCGCTAACCTCTTTGGTCTCTTTGCTGCTCACGTCTGTTGCTCACAAACCTCAGAGTCCTGGTTTTGAACTACAATCCCCTTACATTCAGCAACTCTTTGGACATTATCTGCTCCTTGTTCTACACTTTTTTTTTTTTTTTGGGGTAGAGGAATTCTGAGGCTTCTGACATGTTTTTAGAAGTCTGAAATATTTTCCTGAACAGATTTTCATTTTCTTTCCTAAGAGGGCTTCATTCCCACCCCATGTAATGCAGCTGTGGGAGTAGAGGGGCTGGAACCCAGTACTAGGCACCACCAGGAGAGACGACACAGGGGCAGGGTACCAGCCTTGGGCATGGATGAGCCTGGAACAAACCTTTCTTCTGTTACAGGCTTCCCCTGAGGGAAACCATTTATTCTTTCTACTTCAGCACATCTGTACAAAATGCTGATATAAACCCATCCTTAACATGTGGTTACAAAGAGAGTTTTAGAAGTGGCCAAAGATGCCAGGCCCTGTATGGAGGGCTTTGATGTGTGAGGTCACTGTGCCCCAGCATGAAATTGTTGTGCTTCTGCTCCCTGCAAGGAACTTCCTCACTCCTCATGCAGTGTGTGAGTCTCCCATCAGGTGAACTTGCAATGCAAAGCACATCTGTCATTTCCCTAGGATCAGAGCTGCCTGGAGGGAAGCACATCTCTGGGAGTACCAAGACCATGATATCTCCATGTCCTGGCAGAGGTGATGTAAAAAGGGCTGTGAGGTTTTTGTTATCTTTGGCAAGTTGGTCCTTCCATTCTGTCCAATGTTTCAGATTGCTAAGACTGCTTGTCCTGTCAGAAGTACCAACTATAACTAGACCATTCACTGGATTTAAACATTTTCAAGTGTTTACAACCACATCTCCTCCCCAGGGGGATCTCTGAGCTGCAGTGCTTGCTGTATTGTCTTTGGCGAGCTCTATAGAGTTCCTGAATTTATGTGCTTAAAAATCAATGAGCCTTAGTTAGACAAGAACCAAACACTGTGACTCCACCCCTAGGATTTCACAGGGTTTATGAGAGATATAAATAAACCTTGGTTTTGTAGCCTTTAGAGCCTCTATCAAAAACTTTAAAGTCAATTTAAAATTATGAGCCAGATACACCATAAGAATCACACTTCACAACATAGGTCATCTTTATGTGGTAAGGTGTGAGAAGCTATTTAATTAAATGAATTGTAATCTTCTGCAGCCTCTGCTAGCCAACAAGAGCTGATGACAGAGCAGGTAATGAAAAGCCTGGTTGCATAAATAGTATCATTCAGATCTGGGCTCTCCTGTGGCATGAAGGTCTCATATCCAGCTTGCTCCCCAGGGCAGTGGGGTGGCAAACACGGGTGTGCGGATACGTCCTTAGCCCAGCCTGTCCCCTCCACACAGCTGTCAGCATGAATGCCACCTTTCTCCTCCCATGGACTTCAGAGCTCCCCAAAGGCCTGGCCAAACTCTTTCAAAGTGAAATGAGCAGAGTTTGGCCTTATGCTTAAAATACAGCCCTGCCATACCAAAAGGAGTGCCCTGGGACCCCCTCATTTGGTGTGGGACACGTGGACGACGTTCTCGTCACAGGCTCTCTTTGCTGCGGTATTTTGTGTCAAGCTGAAGCAAGGAGGATTCTTCCTTGTCCTTTGAAAGAACCATAAAAGAAGCATGGAGAGATGGAAGAAACAACCAGAAGAACCCAGAGAGACAAAAAAGACAAGAGAGAGAAAGAAAGAGACTTGAGAGGGAGAAAGGTGAAAGAAGGAGCTGTCTCAACAGTCAAGGGAACAGGTGGTGTGTCATCTCCCTCTCAGTATAAAGAGATTGTGTGGGAAGAGGGATATGACAGATAATATATCAAAGGAAATGAATTGCAGGATTAAGATCCTGACTTTGCTTTGTCAAATTTGCAGGTGATTATTGTATAACTCTCTGCAGCTCTCTCAGTGATGGAAATGCTCTTCAGATCCTCACGACACAGAATCACTGGTAAAAGCAACAGCTCTTCAGAGAGATGCTTACCTAAAGTAGCAGAAGGCTTCTTAAATATCCTTCAGGCTTCTTCCAACAGTGTTACCCATTCTGTGTAATCTCTATGTTCTTGAGATATATTTTCCTCCTGACAATATACCCCTTGAGATTTATTTTCCAGACCAACAGTAAAATTTGAGCTCAAAAAATACATTGGGAATCTCTGAAATAAAATTTTGTTAAAATTTCTAATTTTTAATTTGGTATTGTAGTAAACACAATTTAGAACTACTTTTTTGATATTGAGTACCAAGGATAAATCCTGGGCGCAAACAATGCATAAGACCTTCATAGATAAGGATTTGTACTCAGAAAGTTCTTCACTTTTTTTTTAATGTGATGGATGGTCAGATGAAGATAGAACTTTTGTCCTACAGGTCAAGTATCTTTGACATTCATAATATGTAATAGATATGGTATCCTTTGAGGTGTCCTCAAACTTTCAGGTCCTGAAAACCCGAGCTTTCCCCTGGGAAACAAAATAAATGTCAAAAAAATCCATTAGAGCATTGTGTCCAATATGACCAACCCCTGTCCAGGGCTAGCTATGAGAGTCTGGAGGAAAAAGTAGGTTTTGCTAACCTGTTTGAAATGGCTCCCAAACTGAAGCATAAAATAGTAAAGGAAATTTATGACTACATCTCCCACTTGGCCTTTCCCCAACCCTTAGTGCTCATCATTTAGGGCATTAAAATAGTAAAAGAAAAACTTGTAAATGGGCACAAAATCAAACCAAAACAAACCTCTTAAACTCAGATCCAAGATATTATTCTTGCCCTCCAAATCAGGGAAATTAACACCTCATCGCCACCAACAGGGATTCTAGACAAGGCATATCCAAATAGGAACAAAGTTATTTGAATGAAAAATCCAGCCATCCTCTTTCCTCTGCCTTCCTCCATCAGCCCCCTGAAGTGACAAGCAGCAAGAAACCTCTTCGGCCTTGCAGCATTTGAAGTGAAACTTTTTGGGAAATACTGAAAGTCACTCACAGTCCCAAGGGAATGGTGATCCATTTTTTTCCCCTCTCCCTTCTTTGTAGTTTGCTTTCCCCTATATTACTTTTTTTTTCCTTACTGCAGCTTTTCTGATCACAATATCACAGTGACTTTATCGCCGTCACCTCCTCATTGTGAACCAGCCCATCCCTTGGAGGCAGAGAGCTATTGTGGAGGTGGTAAGTAATTTGTTTTGTTCAATGGATTTCTTGTTATTCATGCATGCAAAGCCACTTTTATCTCACATTTAAATTTGTGTTTTCCCTCTCATGATTGGTTTTGCGACATCAAAAAGCTTTCAGCATCTTCAAAAAATCAAGAAGAACAAACTCTTAGAAAAATGAAATAAAAATAAAAAGAAATCCTTCCTAATACACCCAGTATTTCAGTACAGCTTTAGAAAAGAAGAGATTCACTTGGGATACTGGCTACTAACGACTATGGAAATAAGCCTGATTTTTTGATCTCTAGGCCCAAACATTATTCATTTTTTTTTCCTTAGCCTCAAACAATGTCTTCAGATAGCCCAGGTAAAAGCAAGCCAGAAACAAAACAACATCATAGAGGAATTGCTTTATGCAGATACTTTCAGCTACACTACACAACTCATATTGTCTTTGAACCCAGTGTGATGAGAGAATGATTTGAGACTCCAGGGACGACTCCTGGATATGTTTTTACTTCAGCACACTGTAGTAAGACAGAAATCTTTGGCTTAAGAAATGTGTTCAGCAATCATCTGCATTTGGGGGGTGTTTATTTCTGTCTCTCTAGTAACTCTTTGGACAATGCTGAGAGCTGAGGTCAAGGAGCAGACACACTGGACATATGAGGTTATGGAGAATCTCTTTAACCTTTAAGAAAATATTTTGTCCACGCTTACTGGGTGGCTGAGAGCAGGGGTGGGAAAGTCCAAGCAAATCCTTCTCATAACTAGAATTAGAGGCTATAATTGTAAGGCTGATTTTTGGGGAAGGAGCCACATATATCCTTTGATTTTCAGTTATGTGCCTACTTTTCTAAGAATGCTTTTATCAATTTACTTATTGGGAATTGGTTAGAATTTGCCTAAATATCTACCACGAATTGAAATATTGAACCTCAGTACAAGTGAATTGCACACAGCCTGTGAACTCTGACATGCAGGACCCAGACTTTTAGATTCAAATCACTCCAGGAGAGAATGCAGTCCACAGAATGGCTTTCAGAGGTTTTCTTAGAAATTGTGT